ATGGCCCCCCCCGCCGCCTTCGCCGCCGGCGGATTCTCCGGCCTCCCGAGGCCGTTGATCTCGATCTGAGAGACCTGCTCCAGGAGGCGGTCGAAGCCGGATCCGAGGAGGAACTCCGACATGGTCGAGGGCAGCGGTCGGAGCCCCGCGCCGTCGTCGCCGTCGTAGTAGAGCTCGAAGCTGCTGTCCTCGTCGTCGCCGGGTCCCCGGAGGACGATGACAGGGTTGAACGGCGAGTGCGTGGCGGCGTTGCGGCGGCGGCGGCGGAAGGGCTGCCTCCTGGGGGCGGCGGCGAGGGGCGAGTGGGCGGTGTTGACCTTCTCGACGAAGCCGCCTTGGCAGTGCGGGCAAACGACGTGGCTTTGGTCGATGATTTGAACGAAACGGGTGCAGCTGTAGCACCAATACGACGTCGTGTCTGAGTTCATTTTGGCTAAAAGAGAGAGAAAAATGAGAAATTTTAATTACTAAGCGGGTGAGGAATTGAGAGCGTCCTTTTAAAGAGCGAGAGTAACGACCGCGTCGGCTATGTGCTCTGCTGGAAAATACTATGTAATTTCATTTCTTGGAACAAATAAATTAATAAATACGCCTCGAGGCTCGTGTGATTTAAACTTGGAGTTGGATTAGGATCAGAGCTGCTTAATTAATAATTAAATAATATATTAATTGATTATTGAAGTGACATGACCATCACTCGCACCAACCTAAGCCACTCACTCACACAACATGATTACGAACTACAACAATGCACCTACATTCATGCATAAATAAAGAAATTACTGGGATTAAGTTGACTCCATAAGCTCAGCAATTCAAAATAAATTAATTGATTTATTCTACTTTAAATTTAAACTAAATTAATTATATCTAATTTGATTTTTAACTTTATAGTTTTTGTTTTTAAATTGTTAAATCTATGCATGCTAGATCTTACTATTTAGATTTATTTCTTATTTACTCTTTTTTTTTTTTTACTTTTCTCGTATTTTAACTTTTCATTTAATGTTACAGAGTGTTTTTAATTATTTAAATTTTCAGTTGCAGTTCTTGTGAAATTTAGTTAAAATCTTTTAACGAAGGTTTTGAATTTGAAATTTGTAAATAAATAATAATAATAATAATAGGTTAGAGAATTTTTTTATTAAAAGTGATTAATTATTTTTTTAAAAAAAATATTTTAATAAATATTTTATATCAATATCATGATAAAAAGATATTATGAAATATGTAAATTAATTAACGTTGTCTTATTTCAATTTAACAAGTTATAGTAAATATTTTTTTAAAAAAAATTTATCACTCACGACACGACAATCCTACCAAACTTCATCATATTTCTAATAAAAGTTAAGGACACATTTATAACTATAATTATATAAAAAAAATTGTATATTAATAAAAAATAATAACAATATTTAGAATATATTTAATTATTATTCAAAATTACTAGAGTAGAGGAATTTATATAAATATCAAAAGTTCACATTAATAAAAAATAATACATAAAGACCAAGATAAAACTTAATGTGGATGAATTGACACAAGTTATTATGGTTTAGCAAATAATTTCAGGTGCATCATATACTTGAAGGATGAAATATTTTCTGTAAATAATGGTTTTACTTGCTTAAGGATGACACTTTTCAATAAAAAGATATATGTGATATTTAATATATATATATATATAACATTATTTAAGTTTTTTGAAGGATGAAAATTAAAGAATTTTTTTTAGAAAGACTAAAAGTAAAGTTTACTCATTTTATATAAACTAAAAACATTTAAGTTAAATATATTTATTATATTAAAAACAAAAGTATTTAAATATATTTTTAAATAATTAAATTATTAAAAACTATATATTTAAATATTTAAATATATATTCACAGGCACGTAATGCAAATAATAATAATAATATTATTATTATTATTGTAATAATGATTAATACTATTATTATTATGTGGGTTATTTAATGATAATAATTGTAATTTTGAACTAAGTTTTGCATTGTCTTTTTCGAATATATTAAATGATGCATAATTGGAGGAGCTTTGTTTCCTTTCGGTAATAATGTTGTTTTATTGGTATTTAACAGCCACTAAAATTATACCCGTATGCTTAATTCCTTTCCATTATTGCTCTCAACTAGCACCACCATCTTAATTCATTTCCAGAACACGTCTTCAGCAGTCCATTGACCACTTCAAGATAGACTTCATTCTAGATCATTGCCAACAATGGCGAATACAATAATGCATTTTTTGACAACTCACATGCATCAAAATTATAAGAATACAAGTTATCAAGGTTATTACATAGGATACGTGCATACCAAATTATAAAGTATGTTATTATATTTAAATGTAACTTATTCACGGCTAATCGGTGGACTAAATCCGTGGACTGGGATATTAAACAGCCACTTTCTTGGATTCCCATTTCACTGTTTTCAGTGATGTTATGGGGATGCTGATCAACGGTACTAATTGGGCGGATAATAATAACTTTAAAAAATATATTATTGATTTGGTTCCTAAAATATTATTATTTTTAAGTAACAAAAATATATAAGTATTTTAAGTTATTGAGGCAAGGCTCAGATGTGTAATACTAATACAATTGACTTTTATGTCGCAATTTTACAACTTTATTTTCCAATTCATTTATATCTAGTGACAAATTAATTCCAACACGTATTCTAATTATCTTTAATGGTTTAAAACCACCCATAAAAAAATTGCAAACCAATGGATATTTATAATGACAAACTAGATCCTGACCATCTTCTTTGATATAATTGATTAGAGTACGCAATTGGAGTGAAAAAAAAAAGAAAGTGATATTAAGAGATGGACAGAAAACAGCTACCCTTGCATATTTGGGGTGCGTCTACCAATTACCATTTACTGTTTATAAGAAGAATTTTTGACGATTGAGAATTTGATTAGTCAATCAGATTAAACCAACCACCTAACAAGTGAAATAAATACAAGAAACGATTGCATACATTAATCAATCTACAATGTCTTCAAAAAGAGTTTAAATTTGTTTCCGATACTTTTTTAAAAAAATTATAACATCAAATGAGGTGTGATATATTTTTAAAAGTTGAAAATGAAAATGAGCTATTTTTTTCTTTTATAAATTAATTATACTTTTGAATTTAGGTTATCATTATTAGACTCATCATATTTGAGATGATATTGTCTAATTTGATATTTATTAGATTATTACTGTTTTACTCTTGAAAAGGTGTTTCAATGTATTAATGAATGAGGATATTTATAAATTATTTATAGTCTCGACTTTTAAATAATAATTTTTTTAAACATATTAGAACATAAATATAAATAGAAAATGTATAATTATTTTATTTGGTGTAAGAGGTGAAAGGAAAGGGAGACAATAAAACGATCTAGGTAACTAATTTCATAAACTTTAGCTTTTACTCGTAAAAAATGAAATCCAGGAATCATGATATAAAATTGAAGTAATAAGCCAATAAATCAATAATGAACAAGAACAAGAAAAAGAACAAGAACAAGAAAGACAGCGAAGGCATGGTAGTTCCCATAAATTCAACACTATCCTGCAATGAATTTCACTAACCACCCACAAAGGTAAATTACTCTCTTTCCGCACATTTGTTCTGGAAACTCAAAATCACACTCTGAATACTAAAAAAAAGGAGGGTTAAAGTAAAATCCGATTTTGATGCAATGAGACGAGGAGCTGAATAAAATGTTATCCTAAACAATAACATCGTCGTCCTCATCTTCAACAACCTTTTGCCCAAACCCTCTAGGCCCTGCCCTCGCTCTTCCCACCTTCTTCCTCTTCTTCTTCCCCTTCTTACCACCTTCTTCTTTCTCAAACTTCTCTTTCTCTCTCTTCTGCAGGAAATCCGTCACCGCTAGGTAGATAACCTGTGAAACACAAACACAGAGCTATACTCAAAACCCGAAACAAAGACACAAAAAGTATATAAAAAAAAAAGAAAAGAAAAGAAAAAGGAGTTACTATTTGTTTTACCCCAATAGTGATAGCGGATAAGCCAATGAAAGCAAAGAAGAAAAGAGCGGACACGACTGTGGCCACTCCTTCATCGGTTTCTGGGTACAATTGCTGCGTGGCATCCACCGCCGTTTCCGAAGATATAACATTATTAACATCTTCGGCAGCAGCAACAGGAGGAAGAAGAATAATGGGTCGGAGTAATCTGCTGTTTTTCTGAAGTGGGTTGCCAAAAAGGATGAATTTTTTTGAAGTTGGGAGAGGCAAACATGAGTGTGAGTTTGCAGAAGAAGAGATGAAGGTTGCGATTGAGGAGGATGCAAATGCGGTGGCCATGGATGCAATCCTCCCTCAACCACTTTTCTTTATCTGACGTGGCACGCTTTCGGATTGGATTGCTGTTTTGGAGTGTGATTCGTGGGAGAGCTTCTCCAACGGGATTTTTTATGTTCTATCTAATACTTTCTGGTCTTGTCAAGTTTCTGTCTCATGGGTTGTATGTTACTACTACCCAACTTTAGGCCCATGAACTTAAAGGCCCATATCTACTGAATCTGCAACAAGCATGTAAAATTATTTGGATTACAGCTACCCTTTCAAGCAGTTCTATTCTATTACAACTAATCTTTAAGGATTAAGGGATTTTGTCAAGGAGACTTGTCCACAAAATAAGGAAAGTGACATCAAAATGATTCAAATTCACACAAAAAATAGAAGTTCATATTGAATCTTTCACCACTTATATCGACACGTGTTAGCAAGTGATAACCTATTCTTATATTATAAGTTTAATTATCATAAAAGATATTATAATTTTAATTATTATTTTTAAATAGTTTTTATATTTATTTTTTCATACAATTAGGTATTTTCTTCATTTTATAACATGACTAATATACTTCTATATCTAACTAATATAACACTTATATTTTTAAAAGATTTACTTAATAAAATTGATTTCGGTACTACTTGCATTTTTTAACAGATTTTTTTTAATTGTTTTGGATGTCGTTGATTGTCGATGTATAATGTTGTTATACCATGTTAGAAAAGAAAGAAAAAATAGCGGATAAAGTTATCGTGAATTTTTTTTTTTTTTTTCTGGAAAAAAGAGGTAGTTATTATTTGTTAACAGTGATGAATTTTCAATTTTATTTTGGGGGGTGGGGGTTAAACAAGTTGAATGAAATTTGAATCCTAAGAGTTGGAAGGTTGATGGAGAATGGTGTGAATGTGGAAAAGAGATGAGAGGAGAAAGATTTGGAGATAAGATAAGATGCATGCAATAACTCTCTCTCTCACTGCAAACACCTTCCTTCGTTCCTCTCACACTCATCTTCCTTTCAGATCTCTTCAACCAAGTTGTTGCATACCCACTTGTAAAATTAGCTATGGAATTCGTTTCAACCGTTCACAGCGGAAGCACGAGAAGAAGAAAGGAATCGTGGTTGTGAGAGCAAGGCGTAGCGAGTCTCCATACGAAGTTTTGGGCGTGTCCCCATCCGCAACTGTCGCTGAAATCAAAAAGGCGTATCGGAAACTCGCTCTCAAGTATCATCCCGATGTCAATAAAGAGGTAGTTCCTGTGTTTGACGCTTATTGATGTTATTGCTCTCTCAATAGTGCGTCAATTCTGAAAATGTTAAGGTTAATGAGTTTTGACAATAGTTGGTCATAGGAAGTTAAGTGCAAAGGCAAAAAATTTTCCCATGTTGTCTATGAAAATGAAACATAAATGCTGTTTATGATTTGGGGGGGGGGGGGGTCTCACAGTCTTTTTTACATATACACTAGTTCTCAAAAGTATAAAAAAATGTGGATCTATGGTGGTTAATTAACTGAATGTCAGATATCAGATAGTGATAAAACAATTTATCACCCCCCATGTATTTGCACTTGTAATTGGCTTATTGTCTTTCAATCTTGAATTTTCTTGTGTTTTTGCTTTACATTTTTACTTAAAGTTTTGGGCAAAAATTATAGTAGTGGTGACGTCATGTCTCCTGCTCCACCCAAAAGACACAAAACAGACTGGAAAATAAAAATGAAACTTGATCACAAGGACAAAGAATTTGTAAAAGCTTGTTGTATGCACTATGCTGAAAGTGCTCAAATGATGTAACTATCCTCTTTTGGGTTTATGTTAGTGACCACTCACATTGATTTTGAGTTTTTTTACTATATTTTCAATTAACGTAATAATTAACCATCAGAAGATTGGAAACCGCAGTGCTTATTTATGTATTCTGAAGTTTCTTTTCACAGGATAAGGCACAGGAGAAATTTATGAGGATAAAACATGCATACAATACATTGCTAAATTCTAGTTCCCGCAAAAAGTATGATTCTGGAAACCAGGGTTATGATTTTTCTCAAGGAAAACGAAGTAGGAATGCACAAGCCGAAGAAGAATTTTATGGACTAGGTAAAGATTAATAATCATCTGCAATCTTGTTTGAATATGTCTACTAAACTTAACTTTTTGCATACGTTCTTCATTTTTATTATTGCTGTTACACTTCCGCAATTTTTTTTCTTTTTAATTTCTTTTACTTTTTAGAAAGGAGAAACATACCACTAAGTTATATAGACACAAAATAGCAAAAGTGGGATACTCTCAAAGTGGATGATACGGCTCTGATATTATGTCAAAGAGTTATTATATATTTATGATTAGGGAAGAGGGAAAAGAGAAAAAAGACAGCTCAAAGTACTAAACTATATATTGATAGTTTTTAATGTTGTGAGCGGTACCTTGATCTAATACTCCTATTTATATTATTAGTTATAGGTTGATTATAGGTTGATTACCAGTACAAGATCTAACAATAAGACTAATTATCTACATAATTCTAAAAATATATTGTAAGATAATTTAAATATATCTTTAATATTCTCTAACAATGACGGTGGTTTTAGTGCTGTCCCAAAGAGATCTGCCCAAGATACTGGTCAACTGAAAGGTATCAGGAAAAGTTTTTGGCCATTAGACCATTCATGCAATTTGTGCAGTTAATTTTGCCCATGGCCCTCTATTTTTCCTTTTTTTTCCTTGCACACTCATCCAATACTAATTCTTTTCTTTTAACTGTCTAATACAATCTTCAAAATTCTAATAATTTCCAAAAGGAAATATTTTTTTTAGGAACTAAAAGCAAATATTGTCATATTTACAAAGGTTAAAAACATATTTAATCCTTACGTTTTTAATGTGCTTCTTGTACTATCATTTATTAAGTAAGCTACTTTGTTTTTTAATCTTCTTGTGGTCCAACATCTGATGCAGGTAATTTTTTGAGGGATGTTCAAATATCAATAGGTAGATATATACTCTCTGGTAGACATCATGTGATCATGTTGCCCTTAAGTTTAGCATGCATTCATTACAAATTCTGCAGGGCATTTATTGTCCCATATAAATATGTCAACTAGGGGAAAGGGATGTATGCCTCTAGTATGATGCAACTTAATTTTATAATGCTTTTCGGTTAGTGTTTGAGACCTGTTGATTCTGTTATTACAGAGGACTTCTTTAGGGATCTTCAAGAAGAATTCAGGAACTGGGAAGCAAACGCTGCTTCACAAGGAAAGCCAAAGAGTCTATGGGAGGAATTGGCGGTGAGACTTCCTTCTTACATCGTTATCAGTTTGTTTTTTAACTGATGTGTACATGAGCCACTCATAATATTTGAAATTTTACCTTTCAGGAAATAGGAGAAGATTTTGTGGAGTTCCTAGAGAAAGAACTGAATATTAGTGATCAAAATGACAATTATAAAACACCTGAGGGAGGAAATGCATCCAACTTTTCAGAGGCAGAAACACCAAGTCAAGGTGAAGCTAGCAAGGGAAACAGAAGTGTTCAGGATAACCTTGATGAAATAGAAGCCACTCTGGCTCAGTTGAAAAAGGAATTAGGCTTGTAGCATAAAAGGAAAGCCAAAAAGCATTACCTCTCATTGATGGCACAAGACAAGGGATTTATGTGAAGGCATATTATCCCTGTGGCCATTGGGAACTTGAAATCACAAAAGGATTTGTTGGCTTCCACTGTTGTAATGTTTTAATGTTTTTCTTTCTGGGCCTCCGATGTCCAGCAGTATTCAATTATTTATTTATCTATTTTCATTGTTAGTGGGGTGGGTAGAGGAAATGAGTATAGAACAACATGAAACTTCAATCATGGATGTATTTTGGTTAGATGGAACAGAAAGAAATGTAAAGGCATTATAATAACTCATTGGTTTGTAAAAACATTTTATCCGGTGTTCGAACATACAAAATTGACAAATGATTTGGATTTCAAAGTACATTTACAAACCGAGAAAATGTAGAGGGTAAACTTTGTGAATTCTGAATTTTCGTTTATCTTGCCGCATTTTTTCCATGTATAGGAAACATTCCAACGCAAGTCTTTCATAATATGATTATAAACCACGATCTTACAAGTTTATATTAAATAAACAACCAAATTTTCCTATTAATATACTTTGTTATTAATGTGCTGAACACGGATGGGAATATTGGGTTGAATGTATAGACTAAAAATGAATTAGTTAATTACTTATATACTGCTAGTATAACTAACAACCAATCATATATTTTAATAGTATTATATTAGTTACTTATTTAATAAAATAAAAATAAAATAAAATAATTTAAAAGATATGATTGATTGTCAGTGTAAAAAACTTTACATTAACAGTGTATGAATGATTAACTCAAAATAAATTCATATAAAACTTTCGTAATATTATTATAAACTAACATACATGTTTAGATAAAATAAACCAATTTATTTCATTATTATATTCATCCTATGTATAAAATAAAATCAGTTATCTTGATTGAATGTGTTTTTAAGAACCTCTCTTTAATGAATGTTTTTAAGAATATTTCTTCGATAAAATGATTTTTAATTTTTTTAATTTATCTAATTTATTTTTTTAGTTATCATATTTATTTATAAATTAATTTATAATCTATAAGTTTATTAAAATATTTCATAAATTTATTTTTCAAATTTTCCACATCTAAATAACCATTCAAAATCACTTACACTTTATAACTGTTAATTATTCACATATTTAATTTCAATTATTGTTATAATTTATTTTATTTTAACTTTTAAAAAATATACGAAGATATAAAATACCTTTTTAGACTAATATATTTAAAATAAATTATCAAAAATTAAAAATAATCTCATATTACTTTAATTTATTCATTATAAATTTAAATTTTAAACTATAAATTATATAAAAATATTTATTTATAAAAATTTTAAATATAATTTGTTTCAAACATAGTATTTATTTAAATACATAATATATTATAAATTTTAATTATATAATAAACACTTTACAGATCTCTTTCAGCGCTGCAAATACTAGTTTTGATGTAATGTGCAGAACACGGATGAGAATACATAAGTGAATATATTGATATAGAGGAAAGCTTAGCCCAAACACGACTCATACTTATGCCTCTGAATCTTTTATAATCGTCTCCATTCAACGAGAGCTGACTCGATTTGTTGCTGTACATAACATTTTATAAATAATAAAATTAATTAAACGTCTAGCCTGCGACGAATAAAATTTAACATATAAAAAATACAAACAAAAGATCGACATTTTAGCCTATGATAATTTGACAATCATTTAACAATTTTGTATAAAGATTATATGGATCCATTTGTTTTGTTCTCACGGACTGTGCATTGACCACTAGCCGCAAAATAAATTAAATCCATTTCATAAAATGCATCAAGATAATCCACCATCTTAATCTTTTCACAGTTACGAGAAGCAAACAAACGCAGCAAAAGCTTACTAATCTAGTACATGTAATTTTGAAACTTGAATTATCTATACCCTCTGCCCCCAGAATTCTTCCGCTAAGCAAAAGAAGACAACCTACCGAACAATATACTAATGTCATCACTCAGAACCTCTCTCCAAAACGGAAAAATAATGCACCAGTTCCCGAGTTATGATCGACAGCATATTCTGCTCTCACTAGACCAAGCTTGAGACCAACACCATAAGACGACCCTTGACCCATTCGCCTATACACTTCTGTAGGGTTCCCTTTTACACCCTTTGAACTTCCTAGATCATTGCCATGTTCTGCAAACGCATACACATGTGTACCTTTAACAGGTATCCGCAACTCAGCTGCAAGCTGTAGAAACAAAGAAAGAAATCCGATAGTTAATTCCCAAGTACTGGATAGTATATAGATTATAAAAAATAACTGAACTAATCTACCTCGAGGATGTTTCTGGCTGCTCCAAGCTCACCCATGTTGTAGCCCCTTACAGAATAGGGCCCCCCAAGAGTAAAAGCATCATAGCTGGGGAGATCACCTACACAACCACCATAGTGTCCATGAAGGACAAGCACAGGTGGCGGTGGCTTACCAGCCCCTTCCTCCACAGGCATCAACTGAAGAAATCGTGTCAGAGTTAGCTGATGCCGATTAAAGAATGGGAACTGGGTGCCAATGCCAAGGCCTTGATCTACCTGCAGTTTGCATATGTGAACAACACATTATCAGAAGACAGGCATAGCACATTTCAAGATCATAAATACAGAAAAACATCAAAATTTTGTCTTCAAAGGTTTGGCTGAAAATGTGATTTGGATGGAGCTCAATGGAATTGATTTATTCATGTAGCCAACGCCATATGACCAATAAGGCTTGGTTGTTGGTTAAAAAGAATGCTTTCACAGCAGAATACGGCAACCTGATAACTCTAGCCAACGTATCATCCTCTAAAAAGGATTGAACTAATTAGCATCTAAACATTAGAGACACCAAAATAGAAATTTGCAATATCCTTAATCCATCCCTGCTACTACTTAGTTGCAAGGTTTTTATATGCCACCTTCATGAAGAATTATAACACGCATTCAGTCATCAGTCATTCCCACCAAGACAGATTTTCTTGAGAAGGCCAATGGAAAATAATAGACACATTACAAATTAATATTAAATTTAGTCAACAATAGAAAAAAGAAAATAAAATATTTATATATATAACATAACAACAAAAAGTGGTAAACAAGGGTAACTATGAATAGTCCTTTTCCTTTAACTAGCGCCCATATTTCAAATAGACAAATAAATACGAGAATTTTATTATCTCTTGTAGCTTCTATTTCCATGAAGTTCATGAACAATTGAACATGTATGTCAGTCACTCGGTGTAATGTTTTTGCAAGGCTAAATTGAATAAATTATGAGGTAAAGTCATACCCTTACAATACACTACAAAATCAAAATGATTTTGGTAAACATCCGTAAAGAAATTATAGGAGATCATATCTACAAAATCTATTAATCTAAAATTATTTAACACTCCATTGATATACATCATATTGACTACTTAAATAATATTTTTTTTTGATGAGTGGGAATAAATGACTACTCAAATAATATAGGACCTGTCTGGATAAATTTTTCTATAAACACTTTTAGGAGAGAAAAAATATGAAGGAAAATGAAAATAAAACTTTCCCCAAGTTAAAACTAACTTATACATTAAAAATAAGATTTTGATGAAGCTAATACGAGAAAGCTTCTATAAACTAGCATATAAATATGCTAATTCTAGCTTATGAAAAACCTGATATCATTTTTCCTTTCCAATTTTATCTCTTAAAAACACTTTTGGATAAGTTTACCCAGACTCGTTCAGTTATTTAACAATTGGATTGATAAAAATCACATTCCATATAAAATTACCGATGATATAAGAATTAGTGTAATTTATAGTGGTGTAAATTGATCCCTTCGCAATATATATAAATCATTTTTTCTATATTTTGAAAAACCACATAAATGATTGGAATCAATTTGCACAACTTCAAAGGCGCTGAGAGTAAAATGAGAGTCACCTGGAACATATTTCTGTCTCCAACTACAGCTCCATTCACAAAACGTGTGTTATCACGTGTGATATTTGCCTGTAAAAATGCCATGCGATCAATGCCAGTACCACTGAGGGTGGTTGGAGGTCCATCAGCACTAATTCCTCCACTAGGTAATACTCTTTGACCATTTGCACAGATATGACTACTTTCATCACGTGTTGTTATTTCTTCCATTACAAGTCCATATGTGAATTTACTCTGACGCGTGAAATTCTGCATGGCACACAACATAAATTAAGAATTAAAAATTAACATTAGCCCAAATAGCCAACTCAAAGGTTAATATAATTGAAAAGCAATGGTGAAATTACCTCTGTAATATTAGCTTTGACACCAGTACGATCAACCCATATTGGGGGCACTTCATCCACACCTGGCCCCCCAGTGAATACTGGACTCAGCTTTCGGCTATTGAAACAGCTTACGCGCAGAGTCCGGTTGCGTGAAAAATACACACCATCCAAATACGGATGCACATACTCGAGCTTAAATGCAAGATCATCCTGAGGCAGAACAAAAGGGATGTATTGGGATACCAAACTATTCATAGAATTAAATGAAGGAACTCAAAAGAGTAGATAAAGGGTACCTACCTGAGGATTTAAGAAGTTGCTAGTCGTTATCGAACCATTAACAGATCTATTCAGTCCTTGCAAGTTCCGATGTTCAAAAGAAACAGTTCCACCTGGCTGAACTGAAGCCTACACAAAGTCCAAATAGAAGTAAACAAATTAATTGGGCAGACACAAATCCCTGAGTTGTCAAACAAAACTGATATTCAATTTGACAGAATTACCAGAGTGGGATACCCTCCTCGTCCAGGGACGAGACTCCACTCAGTACTGACTTCAGCCGACTTCTGCTCCAACTCTTTCAGCTTAATTTCAACAATTATACCTCCCTCTTGCTTCTCATCAGGCCGCGGATTCACCTCAATATTCGAAAACAGAGCAAGCGAGTTCACGTTCCTTAAAGCTTGTTTCCCTGCCTCAATGTTGAAAGTGTAGCCCGGACGCAGCTGTTAATCCACAACACAAAGCAATTCACTAGTAAAACACCCTAAAAGAAACAAAGAAAGCATAATCACAGAACAGCCCCAACATCGAACACAAGAAAATAATGTACCTGGCGGGGAAGCTCTCTTTGAATGACAGGAACCTGAGTGTTCCCTTCAACAACATTACCAAGCTTATCCTGGAACTGAATATCCAACTTGGTAATGTCCCCTTCAACAACCTCACAAACAACCTCATTGGTGTTAAGGTTCCCAAAATTAACAACCTGAGCACAAGCATATCCTTCATCATGGTACCACTTCTGCACGCGATCCCTAATCCTCTGCAACAACCTAGCACTGACCATGCCATGCCTCTTGAGCATATCAAGAATCTCATTATGCACATACCTCGGAAGAAGGCAGGGCCTGGCCCTCTCGATTCTCCTCTTGTACTCCCTCTCCTGACTCAGATAGTACTCCATCCTCTCCTTATCGGTCATGTCGGCGTCCATCTCCACGGGCTTCGTCTGCTGCATCAACCCAACGTTGATGCACCGAAAGGCATCCGCACTCTGCCACGTGCTCTCGCTGAAGGAGATGGTCACGCCGATTGAGCCGTCGGGGTTGGTCCTCCCTTCCAAATCCACCTTCTCGAACATTCCAGAAGTCGCTAGGGTTTCCAGCTCCTTCTGAAGCTGCGCCTTCGTGTAAACCCCGCCCGGCCTCAGCGACACCATCTCGAAGAACGAATCCTCCGTCCCCACCTTCGTCCTCCGGCTCCGATCGAAGAACGAGATGTCCGACACCTTGTACTTCTTGAAGCCGCTCATCTTGCTCAGCTGAACCACAATGTTCGCGGGAAGCCCGTGCGAGTCCCACTCCTGCGACTGAGACTCGTCGGCCACTGCGCCGAACATCCTCTGCCAGAACCCCCCGTGCTCTCCTCCTCCGCCGCCGTTTCCGCCGAACCATCCTCCTTCTCCGCCTCCGCCGCCGCCCCCGCCGAATTGGGCGAGGGGGTTGGGGAGGAAGGGGGAGAGGGGGGTGCAGTGGAGGAGGATGGAGGCGGCGGAGGAGAGGGCGATGGCTTTGAAGAGGGGTGGGCGTGGGAGAGCGTGGTTTGTATTTGATTCGTTGGGTTGGGAAGGGGAAAGGTTGCATTTGGTGAGAGAGGGTTTTCTCCTGGAAGAGGAGGGTATCACGGCGGCGAGGTTGTTCGGCGCAGTGAATGATGCCATTGTTGGATAAGAGAGAAGAGGGTTTTTGATGGGTTCTCTCTTCTTCTCTTCTTCCTTCTTCTTTCTTATGTACCTCTCCTCACTCCTTTTATTACATTTACATACAAATATTATATTCCCAAAACTATATTACGGATTACCATTACCAACAAAATATTCAAAACTCTAGTATTTTATTCTTTCTTTATTAATTTTCATTTCATCATTCAATTTCGGACTATTTTTACTTTTCCTCTTATTAATTTATTATTTATTTACTCTTACGAGAAAAGTGTAAATGCATTTAAATAACTACCCAACATTAAAAAAATTAAGACTTTTTATTTAAATTTTTTTTAAAAATAAAAATTATTTCGCATGCTAAATGTTCCCTTCTTCATTTTCTTATACAAAATTTAAATGTTTTTTTTTATTTGAGAAGAGTTTTGACATTTTTTCATTTTGCTTATATTTTGAGTGTTTTATTATGCTTTTTTATTTATTACAAATGAGTAAGATCTGATTTTTTAAGTATTATTTTGACTCGCTATGTATTTTTTTAATTCAGATTTTTGAATTTTAAATTAAATTATATAATAGCAAATAAATTAAATTATTTATTTGGTTCCTTTATTTATTTATTTATTTTTGTTTCAATTTAATCTCGCTGTTATTAAATGAATCAATTTAGTCCTAATTTTCATTCATTTTTACCAATGTTTGATTTTAGGGTATGATGATGTGGCTTGACGGTCCTTTTGTGTCTATTATGTTCGTTTATTCTTGAAAAACCACATTATTCACCTTATATGAAATTCTATGATTTTTGTCATTGAATCTGAGTTCACCATGTCGTAGTCCTCCTGTAATTATCGTCCAATGTAGTTGAGCCACATGAACTTAACCATGGCATCGTGTTTTTCTCACACGTTGGAAGTTGATCGTTTGTTCCCACTTGCCATTACGAGGATATGACTGTGTTGTGAACTACTCTCATGTCTACAAATGTTGTGAAGAAGTTTTAAGGTTATCCTAACTATAAGGTTTAATGTTTAATCTGTGGTGGCACCATTTTGGATATATATGTTGTAATTTTTTGTTTGGAAAAAATAGAATTTTACAAATGTCCTAACTTCATGGTATGGTTTGCGTTTTTGTTGAAACAATTTTTGTTTTCTAGTGAAAACAATTTTTGTTTTCTAGTGAAAACAATAAACTTGTCATATTCCTTATAAACATTTTTTGTTTAGTTTTTTTATTTTTTTTAGAGTGCTGATGAGGAAGAGGTTGAATGCAATTTCTTTCAATGATTTTTAGATGATGTTAATGATATAGATTCAGTCATTTCGAGAAAGAGGACAAAGATAAACAATCTCCAAAGTTCATTGGTGTCAACAAAATGGATGTTGATCATTGTAATCGTTGTTCTTTTGTTGATGAATGTGATTTTCATCATTTTAATATATAACAAGGTGCCTCAATTTGTAAGGGTGGTGTATTTGAAGTAGGGAAATGATTTATATAAGTATGAATTGGGTAGGTATTATATGTTGGCTTTTGTAGGTAATGGTAAATGTGTCTATTATGTTATAGGTTTTTGGATATTTAGGTTTGGTTCAATAATTTTATAACGAGAAATATATGTATTGCATTATTGTAATGAACTGATGTTATTCTAGATATGAAAAGGAAGACATATTTTTATCTTAAATTAAGGACTTATTAATTTATCTATTATTGCCTAGTCAATTTTTTGAAAATAAAATTGTACCAAAGTATAATTTGTTTGAATTGTATCAAAGTATAATTTGTTTGCATTGAAAAGGAAGAGATGTTTTTTAAATTTGGTTTAGCAAGAAAATGGCATCAATGAAAATGATATATTGGTACATCAGTTAATAAGTGGGGCAAAATTGGTATCATGTATCAATTAAAATTGGTATATTAATTAAAATGATATATTGGTATATCAGTCAATATTTGAGGCAAATTTAGTATCATTGTAGCATGCAAAATTGACTTGGTAGCAAAATGGTATGAATCAAAAATTGGTATATCTATAACAATCATTTTGAATTGAAATGGTATAATTGTATGAAAGTACAAGGGAAATTGAATTGAAAAGAAAGACATGTTATTTTGTATTATTAAGCATAATTTGTAACGTTCATTTTGAATTGAAATGGTATAATTGAAAAGAAAGTACAAGGTATGACAGGAATTATTGTATGACACTAAATTAACAATGACAACAAAATGATAAAAGGGATTAAATTAGTATTGGTAAATTAGATTGTATAAACAAAATGAACATACTCATAAATAACATTTGATCCATTGTATGTCATATTGTCAATTACATTCCAAAAAGATTCACCCTTAGCAAATTCATCCAAAATATCGCCAATTACATCACAAAAAATTTGATCCTTAGCAAATTTGGCCCTTACAAAAAATTGTTCGCTAAGACAATATCAATAATAATTTTGCATCAGGTGGTTCAAATTACATCATAAAACAACTTAATGAAAAGAAATTAAAAAACAACATCATGGTTTCCATTGTGGTGTTTTCCTTGACTTCAACTTCTCCTTCACATTCTTCTTCTTTGTTGTCTAGGTAGGCTTGCTTGGTCCACTAGGTTGGGTTTGTTAGCTTGGTTGGCTAGGTTAAGTTTGTTGACAGGGTTGAGTTTGGTAGTTGGGTTGAGTTTGCCTAGGTAGGTTTGGTGTCGGAGTCTCGGACTGTGTGGACTCGTTTAGTGTGGTATGTGGTGGTTCCTTTGGTGTTTCTTTGCATATGGCTATGTTATGGCCCTAATTGAGGCACATATTACAACTCTTTGGTATTCCAATCCTTCTCAATTGTGTTTCATCATTCTTTAGTTCCCAGATTCCCAAATTCTCCTCTTCTTAGTTCGTCCTAACATTTTCTTGGATGGTAGTGGAAGTACATCAATACACCATGTACATTGCCATAGTTGATCTCCATTGACAAGTGCATCACGTTTTAGATTTGGCTTGAACCTTGACTTATTCCAATATTTGAAATTTAAATTAATACATAAATGGTGTGTTTCAAAAAGGAATTTTAGAAATCTAAGGAGTTTGAAATTCTTAAAATTTGAATTATTTTAATTTCAATTTCCATCACTTTAAGTGTTTTATTTGGACAACTCAATTTAAATTTCTTAAATTTTAAATTCTTAGTTTGGATATCGTAATTTAATTTCTATCATGGTTAAATTTGATTTATATATATATATA